TTTCAAGATCTACATGTGCCGATGTTTCCGTTTATTAACGTTATATTTTAAGATCTGTGCAAGAACTCAGTTAACAGATGTTTCCGCATATAAAAGCTATCTTCAAGATCTATATATGTCTATAAAGATAGCAGGGAGAACGTTAATACGTATTTTCAAAACATTTTTACAGAAATCAGTAATTTCAATATTTTAGAAACTATACATCCGCAATACTTTGCATCTACTTCCTGACGACGCCTTTAGTAATGTATGAAATATATATTATTTTTCATGTGCAGAGGTGAATATTATATGAATATGTAGTTCTTAAAGGTAATGAGAAAACGTAAAAAAAAAGCACCATTTCGATTACAGAGTAGAGGAAAAAAATACTTTGGTTAACCAGTTCGTTTCAAGTGCTTTAAAATACCAGTATGGATGGGGGTCATTAAACTAAAAACAGAACAGATTTGATAGTTATCAGATTTGCATTACTGACAGTTTTTTTTTACCAATACTATAGTAATTAAACTTTACTGCCTGATTTACAATCAATACGAGATAACATATTTCTTGGTTTAGAAAAGATAACATTTCTTATATTCTAAGTTCATACCTTTCACATCAAGTGGTGCCGTAAAATTATCTAATGCTACAGGGTTTGAGGCTACACACGTGTAGTTTCCTCTGTGTTTGTGTCGAACAACTGGGAAGGAGAGTATAGAAGTGTAGTTATTGGCCAGTATGACTGACGCCTCTAGGTCAGAGGGCAGTGGCAATCCGTCTTTTTTCCAGCTTATAGAGATTGGAAGATCACCGGCTGAAACCACACACATCAGGGATGCTCTCTCGCCCTCGGAGAGGTCAGTGGGTACCTTAAACGGTTCGATTGCAGGTGGCGCTGAAATACAAGCCATCTTCTCATAAAAATAACTTTACAAAAGTTAATACCCGTCATATTTTAGAGTGAATCTCATATTCTGAGAAGAAATTAATACCTCACACAACCATTAGATATTGTACTCTTAATACCTCATACAACCATTATATGTTGTACTTTTAATACCTCACACAACCATTAGATATTGTACTCTTAATACCTCATACAACCATTATATGTTGTACTTTTAATACCTCATACAACCATTAGATATTGTACTCTTAATACCTCATACAACCGTTAGATATTGTACTTTTCTAAAATTATATCTCTCTCCCAGAAAATACTAAATAAAAACCATGTTAAATACGTGCAAGTTATTACGCATTATTCTTTCTAATATTCTAGGTCTTTTTTTCTTCTTCAGAGAATTGTAAATGAAACCTTGTTAAGCATTGATTATCAAACACAGTTACTGACGATAAACGATTATACGGTGATATTAAAAATTGTTCAATTTTGATTTCGGTAAGTAACGTTTACTGTAATTGAAACAATATGATATGACTTTTGATAAACAAATACTTTTTTCTTTTTAACAATTCAATCTTTTTCAAGGAGAAATAATCAAAAAATAGTCTCTGTATATTATAAGATTAAAAAATGAACTGGCTCTGTAGTAAGTATTATGTTCATCGGGCTTAGAAAAAAAACAAAAAACATTTGTACCTACACCCAGGAAGATTCATCTGAATTCCGCCAGAGGGAATATGAAGTTTAGTTACTTTATTTAGAAAATAGGTTGTTAGTTAACATACACTAAACGGACGGTGGACTTAATGTTCTTTATAGGTTGGATAAATTAATTTACATATCTAATCTTAAGACAAGTTAGTCGAGGAACCAATAGGTTATACAGAGGCGCGTGGAGTCCATTTCAGTTCAACTCAGAATGCACGTCTTGAGTCTCGTAGTGTTTTTGTGAAAAACCTTAAAGATGCGTCTCGTCTTGGTTGAGTGCTTCCATAGCTAATGTAATCTTTACAGCATAAAAGGACAAAACGCATTCAAAGCCTCGCCCAACCATAATGGATAAGGGAGCATTACGGTTTTCTTTAGTGCACGTGTGTATATTGCCTGCATTACGCAAAATATGTATGCTGAACTTACTTGCCACTGTTATCCATAGCTCCTGTTTGGCGTTTCTTTCTTCTCCGTCTGTGGCGCCACAAGCGTACCATCCAGCATCCTGATGTAGAACGTCTAATAACACTAGGGTACCGTTAGGGAAAGATCGTTGTCGATGGTTGAACGGTATTTTCTTCTCACCTATCATTGACATAGGCTAAACATTAGCTAAGAACACAAGGTGAAGTAAAGGTAACATTCGATTAAGGGAAGTCAACATAAAAATCCAATGCTTTTGAACAAGAATCAACAATACGATAGCTTGTTGCAATCTAGGTAACAGAAACGTATCATTAGAACAAAAAAAGTTGTTCCCATAGT